CCCCCCCAACCTTGAATAACTTAATTGCAGATATTTACATTAAGTTCATTTACTGACAGTGATGCAGTCTTTTTTCCTTCTGAGGGTCGTACACACTTAAAACTTGCAATGCACTATTACTTCAGTGGGTTGCTAGCATTTAGTGAACATTACAAATTGTCTATCAACAGATAAGAACACTATCTTGTTGTGCTTTGCCAGTGTTTGTTAGTGTCACCACTGCGTGATATTATTTTATTGGTGTTTTTATAAGAAAAAGTCTCTGCTTTATAAGAAAGCAGAGACTTTTTCTGCTTTTTTGTTTATATTTTAGTTTTTCATGTTTTTAAAGAAGTGCATTTTTGAAGAACTTTGCTCTGTTGCCTTCTCAACATCTTTCTGTTACACTTGACTGATTCTGTCCTTTAACATAACTCACTGCCTTCGACAGCACTTTCGTCTTCTTAACATCTCCACCCTTCCCCCACTCTCTTCAGGTACGGTGGACGAAGACAGCAGGCAGTGCGTCAGACAAGTTCCAGGAAACATCCATCTACAATGAGACACTACGCATTGAGGGCATCCAGAGGGTGCAGGGAGGTCGCTACTACTGCAAGGCTGACAACGGGGTGGGGGTGGCTGCCATCAAGTCCATCCGTGTAGATGTGCAGTGTAAGTGGGCAGGGAGAAAAAGAAAAAAAAAATGCTCCTTCCACTTCAAGACCACAGCTGACTTTCACTACAGCTATTCCCACCGTTAGAAAAGATCAAGATGGGGAGAGATGGAAAGATTGCAAGAGGAAAGATGAAAGACTGATTGGATGGATGATGAGATTTCAGGTGGGAATGGCTTCCAAGAGTATCTGATGAATTATAGGTGGGTGGATGAAGTCGGATTAGGGGGAGGGGTGATAGATCAAACAGACCTGTAGCATTGGGATACTATTGATAAGAATGCGCAACACATTATTTCATTGAGATATTAGCCATAGGCTTGGGTTATAGAGGACACATTGGGACAACAGTGGACAGTTTACTCCACCAATAAAGGTAAATAAGGTAGGAAGGGGAAAAGGCGTTTTTTGTCAGATACTCTTGGGGAAATGTGAAGTCTGTGGCACATATCAAGAGTTTAATAACAGTTAGTCCAGGCAGTACGGGCTCCCTAACACAATGTTTCTCAACTAACAAATGTCATGAACTCAAACAGGGTAAGAGAGGAAAAGTAACATCTACAAAATCACATTATTGGCTGCTTAGTCTAAGATGCCCTTAAAGTTTCTTGATATTTTTTAAATATCCTCTAACTTGCCAATGCCAGCCACAAATGCCAACCAGCTTATCATTCAGAGATGACCTCTCCTTTTTTGACCTTCTTTGACCTGTCCTTGCAGACTTCAGTTTTACAATGGGACTTATTAGACTGTATCTTGAAAAAAGGTACTAGGCAAAGGTGCAAAATTCTGCCTCAAAGTCTACTTCAGTTCTGCTTCAAGGCTTAAGCAGGTAACAGACATTTTTGAGAGTGACACTCCAATGTTGAAGTGGTTTAACCTGAAACACTGTACAACATTTTTAAGATCTGTTGCAGTCAAATAAAAATAAATGTATGCTGGAACTGGAGAAAGAAAACAACTGTGAAAGGCCATGTAACGCCAGGACTGCGTGCTATTTGTGCATCCACAGTAATTGATAAAATTCACTTATCTCAACATGTTTGTTGAGATAAGAGCACAATAACATGATCCAAGGCCACTTAAATGTGACTTCGGTCCATGTTCCATCATCTATTTTTATGAAAAAAAAATGCTTTTGAAATATTATCTCATGCAGCCAAAGTTAGTATCAGCTTCTGGAAACACTTTGTTGTGCCTCCTTAAATGTTAAGGTTAACAGCACTGCAACATTACCTCACAAAAAATGTTGATATCATTTACTTACTAATACTCAGAAGAGAATATTATTGATGATTTCAGAAATATTTATAAATTTTGTTTTCTAACCCCCCCCCTCCCATTGCCCAACTTTGACTGTTTAGATGCAGCATTGTGTTGTAGGGGTCCCGTGCTGCTGCCTGTTTCACTGCCCCACTGTCCCAGTGAGTCAAGGGTCAGGTCATGGTGACAGGTTGATTGAAATGCAACTACATACTCAACACATCAATACTGTTATCCACTTTTATTCTTTCCTGGCATCTTAAAATCCTTATCCATTTGTTATGGCTTCTTACTGCATAAATAGTGTCTTTCTTCATTGATTTAATCATTTTGATGGTGGGTTTATAGACTAATAGAAAGAGGCTGATCTTAAGAGAAGACCCTATAATGTAACGCATCCATTACCTGCCTTTCTTTTGCTTAGTTCAGCTCTTTTTTTTTCCTTCTTGGTTTGCAGGGCATTATGTCTACCTCCTTCAGTGCAAATTCCCAAATTATTTCACCTGTGCACTCACACAAATACACACATCTACAGACACACACACATACATATTCGCACCATGCTTGTCCCTGTAGAATTTGTCGCTTACCCACAACCCTGGCTCAGCCTCTTAATGGGGCTCTCCCTCCTCCCTCCTTGTTCAGTCCCCCTTTCAGCTGATAGTGTTAGTTCTCCCCAGGCACTAGCTTGGCCCCTGCTGGGGAGCTGGTAATTGCAGGGGGCTTGGGTAGTAAACAGGTTGCATTGTGAGTGTAGTTGTGACAGGAGCTCTGTGAAGCTAACCAGCTCTGACGGCCAATGCTTGTTCAATTCCCCTTCCCCCATGCTGCGTTAGACCCAGCGGCAATCAGCCAAGCTTCCTACACAGGGCAACTTTAGTGCTAGAACGATGTAACAATTAGCCCAGGCTACTGGGGGGAAAAAAGGAAGAGAGATATATGAAAGTCGAGGTGAAGATGGATGGGAGAGAGAGAAAGGGGGTTCGAAAGAGGAAGGAAGGAAGGAAGAGGGACAAGCAGGGACGAAACAAGGAACAGCAACCATCTAGGTTTACTGTTTGCGTGATATGAAAAATCCTTAAAGGTCCTGCATGGAGGTCAGTTGGAAAGAGGAAGAACCCCCCCCCCAAAAGTATATTTTATGTATATAAATGCATGCATGGCTAGCAAATTAAATGACACAGTGTGGTTGGTTCGTATGAAGCTGAGCCATTTTCCATCAGAACTTGGAAGTAGATCATATTCTTCTTAGAACAGATACTAAAAGTTACTGCAGCTTGGCACAGTGTATGATTCACATTAGTTTTATATATACCAATGTATTCAGTGACCCCTTATGCACTTCGGATACAAGACTGGGCTGATATTTCAGGCAGATAAGTTTTTCTATCTAATGTAAAAGTGTCTCTTGAGTAACTAAATGAACTGGCACCCACTAAAAATGTTTTTATAATAGATAATTAACTATAGTGCCAATATAGTGCAGAGGGATTGCTATGATCATAGCTATTAAAAGAAAAAGAAATCAAACACATAATCTTAAATGAATTTTAGTTATCACTATGACTGCTGCTTACTTTGCCAGAATCAGCAATACTTAGTGTTGCCAAAATTTGGATTTTGTAGCTCTAAACCGCTTACAAGATTGCAGCTGGTGGTAAACACAAGAGACAGGTTCAAATAGGTCATGTCAAAAAATGAATAAGAGACATTGCAAATGTCTCTTATTCTGGGGTTTTAATGTCTGGGTTTTTTTCTAAAGAAATGATGCATAAGAACCAGAAGGGTTTTAGATTTGTAGTCCCAGCAGGAAGAACGAAACTGTAGAAAAAGGAAACACAGTGACACTTCTTATCTTGTTTACCACTGCCTTTGCAGTGTCTGAGAAAGAAAGAGTGCACACAGTGTGAGAACACTGACCTGGATCCTGCCTATTGGGTTTGCAGGTCAGATCATAGTTACCTAAAGAGTACTTGACCTTTCTTGGTAAAAATGAACAGTGGAAAGCTGAGGTAGTGGTGAGTGATTGCAGTCAAATAGATTCTATTATTATGGTGGCCAAATTTCCGCTGAAATAATGGGGAAGAAAGGAAGGACGAAGAATAACAAAAAGATGGAAAAGAATGAGACAGATGGAAAGAGAAGCCAAAAGACAAATGAAGGCATTAAAAAGGAGGAATGGAATTTGTGAAGGGAAATGAGAGTAGAGAGCCATGTGCATTAGATGCACTTGTGCTTTTCAATTTGGATGGCTCCAAGAGACCGGTTATTGGACTAGAGAAGCGGTCCCCAACCTTTTTTGCGCCACGGACTGGTTTATGCCCGACAATATTTTCACGGACCAGCCTTTAAGGTGTCACGGATAAATACAACAAAATAAAACTAGTACCGGTACCGAAAAAAAATGATTTATTCATAACACACGTAAAAACAATAACAAAATAACGCTGAAAATCGATAAAAACCCTGAAAACCATATATTTCAGACCTGAGCGTCAACTCTCGCGGCCCGGTACCAAACAACTCGCGGACCGGTACCGGTCCGAGGCCCGGGGGTTGGGGACCACTGGACTAGAGGGTAGAACAGGTTGTTACCTGTACAGGGTGCAAACAAGAGATTTAGCTGTCCCCCTCTCCATCTCTCAGTCATAAAACTGATCTTATCCTCCGTGTCTCAGCTGTTTTGAAACAGCTTTAAGATGTTTTTAAAATGGAGTGACCAAACACTGCTCTTCATATTCACTCTTACCTTTTATTTGTCACATCTTCCTCTTTCTCCTCTTCTTCCCCCATCTTTCATGTTCTTACCCTCCTTGTTTTTTCTTCCTCCTGCTTCCTGCACACTTACTGCCTTCCTCCATAAACTGCACCAGTGAATGATGGAACAATGTATGTGTATGTACGTGTGTGTGTGCGTGCAAGCACACATCTGCATGCGTGCATGGGTGGATGTGTACATATGCAGTAAATCTGCTGGTGTCTTTCTCCACTCAGCTGTGAGGCTAAACCAAACACAGCAGTCTCTGGTTGTAGGTCATTTACTCAAATGTAGATTTAACGTTAGTTTCATGGAGGCATGCAAGAAGTGCTCACACATGCAAACACAACCCCTTGCTTGTTACTTATTTATAGGCAGCACATGCACATTTTTTTAAATTTACATAAATAAACGTGCACTGATGCATGCAGGAACATGTACGCACTTGCAGGTATAGTGTGAGAGTGAGATGAACAATAATAAAGTGGCCAGAAAGTAAATGGAAACTTATGGAGTGACCGCACATATACAATATTCTAGTTAAAATAAAAGGCTTTTTTCTATCATAATCTCTTTGCAGTTGTGTTAATTGATCCCTTATATAGTTTTTTCCTTTGTCAAATACATGTGAAGCATGGGCTATTCCTTTCTGCTGCCAGTCTTCTCGTTCCCACTTCCACAAGGGGGGCACATTAATCTTTGCAATCTTTACATTAATTAACTGCCACTTAGTTATTCTAATACTCTCCACACAGCAACACACCATCCACCAATTAGCCATTAGCGCAAACAACCTCCTTTCCTTCTCAGACCTCCACCACAACTGGGTCACTCAAATCAAACTGCACACCATTGATCTGGCACCCTAACCACCGAGACAGTGGGGCAGTGAGCAGGCGGGGTTTAACTTTGCGTAGCCTCTACTGATGGGATGGACTTGGTTCAGAAACCCAACTGGTGATATGTAGATAGAATCT